ATATATATATATATTTATTTATATTCAGCAGTGGGCTGCTCAGTAGCATGGCAGTGGGGAAGAAACTATTTTGCAATCTGTTGGACCTGCATCGGACGCTTCGAAGCCTCTTCCCAGAGGGCAGCAGGGAGAACGGTCCATGGTGGGGTGTGAAGGGTTATTGATGATGTAACAGGCTCGTGACACGCAGAGCTGGGATAAAATGTCTTTAATGGAGGGAAGAGGAGCCCCGATGATCTTCTCTGCTGTTCTCACCACTCTCCTCACTTTCTTCCAGTCTGAGGCGATGCAGCCTCCACACCACACAGTGAGACAGCTGGTCAGAACGCTCTCTATGGTGCTTCTGTAGAAGGTGGGGAGGAATGGTGGGGGCAGGTGGTTAAGTTAAATAGCAGATTCTTATAAACACAGTGGCAGTTTGGACTCAAAGCAGAGTAAACATAAGAAAAGAAAAATAATTTAGAAAACTTAAATCCTGTCCCAAAATCTAGATAGTTGAACGAATAATGAAAACTGAAGGTCCCAATAATATATTTGATTGTATTTTTTTTTCCTATCCTTTAAAGTCCAAGTATATGACATTCATTACACACTTTTTACAGGCTGGCTTGGTCAGTTGAAATGTGTATTTATTATATTTCATGCAATATTAACAATAACTCTTAACAAACTTTGCATAATACTTTTGCACATTTCCCTTATACGAAAAGGCTTTGACATTAGAAAATACTAAAACTAGCATCATTAAAGCAGGGCAAGGGAAAATATATAACTTGTAAGATTTATTTGTACGATATTTTAATATGAAAACAAGAATAATGGTGATAGTGATTAGGGAATTGATGTTTATAATGCAGCTTCGTGCTTTTCCTGTGATAAACAGCAAATTCAAACTGACCAATCAGAGAGAAGGCCATGCAAATCAGAGCGGCTACGTTCCGCCTACGTTGAAGAACTGACCAATGGACGCTGAGGTGGGCGGGGCTCAGGAGATAGCGGCGCAGGATTCAAACTGAACATGGCTGCGGGGAACGATGTTGATGAAAACACACAAAATAGAAGGTAAAATGAAGCTATTGCCCTCATTTGGTGTTTGTTAGTGTGGTAACGGGAGAAGGGAGGACACTTCTGAGAGCTTAGATTTAACTTTTACTTCTTCTTCTATCAGTTTTATTTGTGTTTTGTCTCGCGAAAAGCAATAACAGCTTTGTAGGTAAGCTAACCAGTTAGCAGAATGATGTTCACTTTCTCTGACGTTTAAGACTATAGCAGGAGACAGGATACCGCGTGGGAGTTTTTCTAAATGTTTACCGACATTAAAACAAGTGGATGAACAAATAAAGGTGTGGAGTCTGACGTTAGCATCTGTTTCCCAGCTTTAGCTTCCCTTTAGAGCACAGCTTTATCCATGGATGCTAAACTTGGACCAGTTTGAACCCACAGCTGTGCTTAAATCCAACCTAAACATTCCTGACATGCAGTTTGTGATGTTTAAAGCTAAATTTGTTAAAGAAAAATCTAAATAACTCAAAAAAAGTCCCAATTAGCATGTTTTCAAAACAAAAACAGGACATTGTAGGACTGCTGTATAAAACCTCGAACTCAAAGCTATTTCTGACACTGAATAGAAAATGTTACCTGGATGGGAAGCTAAACTTCTTTTAAACTTGGAAATAAAGTCCAGTTGATTGTTTTATTTTATTTTATTTGGAACGCTATTAAAGAGCTTTTTCTGAAATGAGCACATTGTCCTTCATAATATTTTTGGTTTTCTTCATTTAATTTATTTATTTTTGTTTAAAGTTCACTGATTTTGAAATTTTATTTCAGTATAATATGAGAAGAAAGTCAGAATTCCGACTTTCTTCTCAAAATTCGGAATTTTATCTCAGAATTCTGACTTTCTTCTCATNATTTAGAAAACTTAAATCCTGTCCCAAAATCTAGATAGTTGAACGAATAATGAAAACTGAAGGTCCCAATAATATATTTGATTGTATTTTTTTTTTCTATCCTTTAGTCCACTGGCGTAACTTTCTAGAGGACTTTGGGCATGGAGGGGACAGTCCCCACCAAAAATTTCCACTTTTTTCCCCGCTGATTTACTTCAGCCAACAGTAACTGGGGTTGGGTGCAGCTGTCTGTGTTCAGAACGTTTTCAGTCCGTGTTTTTTCATCGCTTTCCTGCTGCTCTTGAGTCCCACCTATTGAAATATCATGGGATCTGTCGCTTTGGGACATAATATTATTTGGGGTCACTTTTCACTGTGTACAGAGTAATTACGCATAGGAGGAGAGACACAGCAACACTCAGTGATTATTAACCAGCAGCTACTTGTAATTATATGTTTAAGTAAAAGTTAGGAGACGGGTTGGTTAAAAAAACATTAGATCCGTTCGTTACACATAGGGAGCTTTTTCAGCTATAAATGGCAGCAGATTGTACATTTATATAAGTTAAAAAAGCTGGGCTTCTCAGAGGACCATTACTCAGTTTTACAGATTAAAAGTAACACATTTCTGTTGTTTTCTTATTGAACAGAGAATCAGACTGCAGAGCTTCTAGAGATCCTAAAAATGATTTTCTCTGGCATCATGATAGACAGGTTCATAAATCTGTTTTTAAACAGAGCAGAGACACAATTAGGGAGAGCTACTGATTTAAAGGTGAAATAGATTTACTGGAATATGCAACATGCAATAAAATATATCCACAAGTTTACAAGAAAAAATATGCTATGCTAAAATAAAATTTAACATATCTTTTTGTTTTTTTTTTGTAGTTCAACAAGACTCAGAAATAGCTGCAAAACCTAGACAGCCAGACTCACAGGACACAAACTTAAAAATAAAATAAAGGAAACCTGCAAGAATAAATCACAAGCACAAATAATAAAAATCAGTGTATACATTTTTTTGAAATATAAGATTCAATACTTTGGCTGTCAATGACATATGGGACAAATTTCAAAATTTAATTTTGCTGCTGTGAAGGAGGATAATCACTGATGCAGCTTAGAGGGAAGCCATGCAAGCATGGATGGATGGAAGTGAAGTTGTTTCCATACTAGGGATGCAGGATATACTGATATTGGCATCGGTATCGGCTGTTATTCGTCATTTTTTACACATTAATGTTTTTGATACCTTTATAAATAATGCACTAAAGGCAGGCATCTATCTATAACTATAAATATCAGTGTACTGTGGTACTCTTGTGTTCTCAACAATAGGAAAGCATTCAATACATACATATTTGAGCTAATTTTTGGAAAATATAAACCCTATTGAAGGCGTTTGGGTTGAGTAGATGTAGGACCATCAGCCACCACCCTTAGAGCAGGTGTAACCAAAAGTTACACCCTTGGTTTAAAGTCCAAATATTACATTCATTACACACTTTTTACAGGCTGGCTTGGTCAGTTGAAATGTGTATTTATTATAATTCATGCAATATTAACAATAACTCTTAACAAACTTTGCATAATACTTGCCTTTCTAGTACATTTGCACATTTCCCCTA